TATCCCAGTTGGTGTCTTCTCCATGCGCCTCACGCCCTGCCCGGCCTCAAACTTTAATCCAATAACGCCATCCACCACCTGCATCTTATCCTATCTCATCCTGAAATTTTTGAAACCTTTCCTATTCTTATTTCATCAGGGCTCTTCCTTGTTTCTCTGAGCGTATTTAATCGGGAATTTTTGTTTGTCCTTTATACTTACTTCTTCCTTTGTTGCTTTGTACGTTTTTATTGGGAGTTTAGGCTGTAGTTTTTGTAGACTTAAATATAATATCTGAGTATATTTGGTTCTCACTCTGCCAGACTTTATCCAGGGTTCTTCTTATGTTGTATCTTTTATTATATATATCATTGTTTTGAAGTCTAGCTGTCTCAAGAATTTTCCCGTCAGCTTACGTGGTGTAGATAAATTTGTGCTCCCCATTTTGCAATATTTTCTTTATAAATTATTCATAAGAGAGTTTACAAATAATTTCTTACGCTCTGTATTTCGTTCATTGAGAAGCTCAGGACGGGTAATATAGTGTTGGCAGTCTACTGTATGGCGGATATGACAGCTGTTGACAGTTTGACACTTGTGTTAGTGACTAAAATTGAGAGGGCAGTTTTAATGTGCTATTGAGAGTATAACACTGACAGTGTGCCGTCGACAAGTTACCAGTGACAGTATACCTTAAATAGTGTTACATTGGCATTGTAACATTAACAGTGACTAATTGACACAAAACATTGATAATGTAGTAGTGACATTGTAGCACACAGCATATTACAGAACTGTCAGTATAACAGTGACAGAAAACAGCAACAGTGTATCACAGATAGACAGTCGAGCTGTCAACGTAACAACAATAGTGGGAGACAAATAACATTGTCTCTCTTTCTCTGAGAGATGATCGAGTTGATGAGATATTAAAGTCATGTAATGTTTCAATAATGCCAAAGTATCGCTGTGATTTTCATAATATACGATTTCTCTTTTCTCAAATAACTGTGACACGATTCATGCAAATTGGCACACTGACGTCACGAAATTGCATATTCAGCTTTGTAATTCCGTAATTAAAATGTATTCCACACTCATACGAGCGAATCCAGTCACTCATAAATCCCGGGCGTGCTAAAAGCATCAGTTGGAGGTGATTTAGTTGTATTGGTGTTCTTTTTATTTCATTAGTTGACAACATTTCCAATATTCGATTTCAATTTTCAATATACGTTTGTGCGCAAATGGCAAACAATTTCGGCACCTGTGGATATAAGTCTGGCCACCCCGCTGTTCCACGATCTCATACCCAGAATGTCTGAATATAATTTTGGCAACATTTTGGCCACATATTATACAAAGTTAGAACTTCTAGATATCCAGATACCGTGCGATCTAAATATTTCAGGACACTTTACTGCTGTTCAACAAGGAATTTACATTAGATATTTATTTTGTAGTGTGTCGTTATCTATAAATAATCCAATATATTCTGATAAGATTACATCTGTGTTTAAAACTAAATGAATTGGAAAAGGTTCAGAGTATAATGGCGCGTCTCTTAGAATATTTTATGGCACATGAAAACAAAAATATATTTATATCGGTTTATTTACATATTCACGAACTTGAATCCAATAAACGGGGAAAATATTTCTGTGTATTTTCTGTCTTCCGAGTGAAATAAGAATGATCAGTTTAAATGCATCTACAGGTTATGTTCCTTTCTCGTGGAGGTAAAACTAAAACAGCAGGAATATCGGAAGGTTTTACCCACTCTGGTTTAATATCCTAATGCATTACTCGACGACAAGGATCTGTGTAACTCTCACGACACTAAACCTTGAAAAACTGCCTCTAACACTCTTGTCGTTTGTGTTGCTTTATCATTGTCAGGCAACACCTGTGAGTTGTGGTGCTGCTGCACGAATCCCAAACAATACAATACCTAACTTGGCTACACTGGTGTGGGAATTTGGACACCACGGATAGGTTGATTACATAGCCTGAGGACGCCCTGCAACGTCTTTTGTCTGGCAACACATTCGAGTCAGCCGGGGTAGTAACACTGGCTGTGACTCAACACATCGTAGAGGTGTTACAGCGACAACACAACGAAGTCCTTCACGTAAACTACAACAAAAACTGATCGTGTTCTCTCTGCGTGCGCAGTTTTGAGTTTAATTATTGTGTTTTATGTATCGGTTGAGAATAAAAGTGTCAAGTTTTAATTCTGATTGTTTTTTTTATATTCTCTTTGTTGTAAAGGTTGAGAGCGTATGGCCGGTGCTTCAGAATCCCTGACAGTTAAGACATTAAAAAAACAAAAACAAAAAAAAAACAACGGTAATAAAACACTTAGTGACAGAAGCACTTACAAGCGGCACTGCCTGATCGTCTTACTCATGATGTGTCCCGACCGACCCGAACGACCCGACCGGAATGAGTAATTATAAATGGTTTATTATAATCTTGGTCATTTGCCGTAACCTAAAACGACACTACCAGCAATAATGTACAAAGCCCCAGTACTTACACGTCACTCATTAAAACTATGAAAACACCACGACCCATAACCTGAGCAACACCACGACCCATAACCTGAGCAACACCACGACCCATAACCTGAGCAACACCACGACCCATAACCTGAGCAACACCACGACCCGATAATTTTGTGTATCGATTACGGAGACTAATTTCGCCACTAAAGACGACTCCCCGGTAATCATAATTGCATTGTCGACACGATGATTGTGGAGGAGAGTTGAAATTGCTCTGGGAAACCTAAACACGCGTATTTTGAGGGGCTTGGTGCTTATACCTCCCGTGACGACAAATTTAGCCATGGGGTTAATCCTTGTTTTTGTAGTTGAGGTAATGGATTTTTTTTTTCTTCTTTGACGAGACTGCCGGGGGTAAAACGCTAATAAAGGTGAATTTGGGGATTTTCTGGCGGGGTTAATGTGGTGTTGATGCTGAGGGAAGGAATCTAAAGCAGGAGGCAAGAGGACTGTGTTCATTGATTGTAGAAGCGGGGAGTTGTTTTTGTCTTCTATGTACATTAATAAACTGAATTTTCTTCATCTGATGGAATTAAATTAGGAAATGAATGGAAAAAAAAGTATTGTAAGAGTAATGTTTCTCATGGTATTTGTCGTCACGTCTTTGTCTTCCCTATGGAGCGAAGGTCCTAATAGAATCTATATCGAGGGATTATCTCCAAGTCTGCCCATTGTTTGTTCAGTCGTCTCCCCGGTGACTGGTTTAAAGTGAGTGGTTTTCATTGTTCTTTGTTTAATAGGTCTTATGTACAGTGACAGGTAAATATTACTCCTGGAAATTAATTGCCGTGTTTCTCGTTGATATATCGCCATTTGCATGTGTCCTCGTTCCCAGGTGTAATTATCGGTTGTGTCTTCCATCATCATCAGTCACATTCCTGCCCACTTGCCATCGTCATCTTCTCTCTCTCTCTCTCTCTCTCTCTCATTTGCATGCATCACTCATTCACCTGTCAACAAGCTCCCCAATTGTTACCAGTGATTAATTTATTTGCCGCTAACTTATCATTTATTGTCTGTTACCTGATAATTTTATTGTAATGACTAATTTATTTACGCTATAGAATTTTAATGAGTAATTTATTTATAGTATTCACACTGTATATATCCAAGAGAGAGAGAGAGAGAGAGAGAGAGAGAGAGATACTGTATCTGGCAGTGAATCATACCACCTTTGAACCCCTGAACTGACTTCCTTAACTCATTTTTTCTTTCTCTGAATTTTGCATTCAATTTCAACAGCCAAATCACATAAACACAGACACCACGTTACGGGAATAGTATCTAGCGCACACAGACATATTTCCCTGACATCATATCTAAAGGTCAGAGGTCAATTGTTTGATATCTTATGCCGGCTTGAGTAAAATGGACATGGCATTTCACTTATCATTTTCAATAACAATTTACCTAGAGTGGGGACTTATCAAAGGTGATTATCATTCAGGTCTTTGTTGTCTGTCCTTTCTGTCTCTTGTCTGTCTGTCTGTCGGAGGAGGAAGACCAGTGCCCACTGCTGTAGTTTAAAAGATTATAATTAGTGTTGTTTTTAGACGTCGAGTGAGGGGCGACATGATAGAGATAAACAAAGAAGAGGTAGAGGTTATATAGCTCCATGTGTCCAATTCAGTGAAAATGTGTAATGTTCTGGTGAGGAGAGTGTGCAGTATGTATGTATGTATGTATGTATGTATCCTTATATCCCACCATTAAAAAAACAGGGGGTAAATAGGGCGTATGTAGTATCTGCTAAATTTCGTGAAACTATTTAATTCACGGACTTGAATTCTGAAAACATTCACTCGATAAAACACAAATATATGGAACATTTTATATCGTATTTAAAATAGTTCCTGTTTTTGTTTCTCTTAAATGCATCGATTTATTGATGACGTTACAATAAGCATTACTATTTGGTGTATGAGTGTTGTGTTTACACCCGTGGCCATGGCCCTTCCAATCTCTTGAAGACTCGGCGCCCTAGTCCCTCTGAGAGCATTTGTGAGTCCAACCACGGCACCAACCACGTAGGCCTGGCGGTACCTGTCACTCCCTCGACCAGATAGGGCAGGTGTACCTCCCCCTTAATCAATATTTATGAACGAGTTGGGTTTTTACGACAAGCCGGTCACTGCTGGGCCACTCCACTCAACTCCACTCCACTCCACTGATACCCAAGTCTGCTAACTATCAACCATATGTGTGTACTGATGTTGTGTCCCTGTTTTACCGTACAACACCTCCACTCAACTACTCAATAACCATAGTCCACTCTACTTACCCTAATCCCAGTTAAGCATCACCAATAGACCGTTTTGTATATCTACCTCACCTAAATGAAGACATACAGTTCCCGACACCTTCTGCGACAGGACATTACTGTATCTTTGGTCTATATCCTCCACTAGTTAATAATCTTAGGTGAATAATATGATACCCGACGTGGTGACTCACCCTGGACGGCCAGAATAGCAGCCGCCGAGGTCCTGGTGCCCACGAGGTTGGAGGCGACGCAGACGTAGCTGCCTTCATCTGTCTGTAGCGTCTCTGTCATGACCAGTCCACCGCCCTCCTTCACGTACACCCTGCCAGGGGGGACAACACCAGATTAGTAAATAGCGTAAAAGAAAAGTTTATAATTTTAGTAATAGAAATAAGAGTTTTAATAATAATAATTACACATTCCCTGTGTGTATATATACAGTACACATTAATAATAAACAACAAGTGACAAAGAAAAAAGAAAAGAAAAGATAAATGAACATGTGTACAAAGAATGGGTAAGGGGAGAGGTGACCACGTTCTGTAGGCAATGTTAAATTGGGTCCTTCAACGTAACCAATAATCAGCTTCGAGCAACAAACATTGATTTTAAAGGCAAATCATCATGATACTGATCTCATTATTGTGTGTCTGTACCCCTTGAGTATAATACCTTAAACCCCCGAGTTCAACGAATTAATTAATCCACTGAAGAAGATATATTAAAACCTTGAATATGACAACTGAGGGTAAAATTTTATTCAAGATTTTATGGCATCGTAGGCACAAGGGTTAAGAGTTATATCCAAGAGGTTTCTTCATCTTATGTAATGGGAAACTTTATTAAACTGAGGGAGTTGATGTCGTACTCAAGCTGTTAAATCATTCGTAGTGACTAGCTTAAGTCTTTCACGCAGGAGGTTGGTACATTATACAGAAGAGAATATAAGAAGTATATAAATAAAAACAGCTGCAAAACCAAAGACGAATATAACTGATTTAGATATACAGGGTGTTCATAAATGATTACCCTGATTAAGTCATGAGAGCATACTGTTTTTAGAGTAATCATTTATGGACACCCTGTATTATTAACTGAAAAAGGTTGAGAATAAGATAACTGATGATAAACTGTAAGGCTTTTTAAAGAACCAAACAAGCTTCAGTTCACAAAGAAGCAGCCGGAATTCGCCTGGCGATGCTGGTAACTTTCTGCTGATCAGAATGCAAACGAATACAAACTAGTATAGAAGGTAGGCAAACATCCCTTGATCCAGGCGGTAGACGTAGATCAGTTGACCCAGAGCATAAACTAACAGCTGCTCAGTCAATGAAAACCATGGCGCCCCCCACCCACACCCACACCCACACCCCCACCCCCACCCCCACCAACACCCCCACCCCAGTATGGCTTAATTTTCAACTGACGAGAGATAAAATTATGCTTCATGATCCTCAACCAAGAGTCCGCCTGATGTTCTTTCACACGAGAATTAATATCAGTCCATAGATAATAAACTTGGGCACATTAATTTATGTTAATCCGTCGAGTTTATGGGTAGCGGTCGAACGGAAATCGTAATCGTCACAGACATATGAAAGGACAGATGTAAACAAACGTCAGCTGATCCAGTGGGAAAAAAAACAGCTAATCTAGTGGTAAACAACACCAGCTAATCTAGTGGTAAACAACACCAGCTAATCTAGTGGTAAACAACACCAGCTAATCTAGTGGTAAGCAAACATCAGCTGATCCAGTGGTAAACAAACATCACCTAATACAAAAAGTAAACACAGATCAGGTGAGTCACAGAGTTAGCAAACGTCAGGTAGTTATAACGTCAACACTCATCATCTCGCATAATAAAGCGGTGCGAATGAAAGGGGATGGGAGAAGGGGAAGTGAAAACAGGGAGTGGGCGAGGGAGGAAAACGAGTGGGAAGTTTAAACTGATTGGCAAAGGGTGGAGAGGACTGAGTAGCCGAGGGTAAGTGTCACCACCGTTGTGTATAAACCCTTGAGAGGAGAAGCTGTGTGTACATTCATCAGGTGGAGGGAGTGAGGGGAAGGGGGTCCGTACGGTGAGAGACAAGATAACGAAGGATAAGAATTAGATGCGACTGAGGAATAAAGACAGACGTGTGAGGAAGAAGAGGAAAATTGATGAAAATTAGTCCCATGAAATATTAAGTTTGGAGATCAAGTAAATGTTAAAATTGTTGAGATGAATAAAGGAGGAGAAGAAGAAGTAGGGGATAAAATGAGAAATAAAAGAAACAAATATAACCTATACTGAGAAGGGAAGAAAAAGGTGATATAAAAGACTTGATAAACTAGGTAATAATAATCACTTCCTTCTCCTACTCTCTTCCCTATTCGGCCCCCTTCCCTCTCCTCCCCTCTCCTCCTCCTCCTCCTATAACCTGGCCCATCTTCTCCCTCCTCACCTCCACCCCCCTCTCCTCCCCCCCCCTCCCTCCAAGTCACCATCCCAACCATTTTAGTACCCTCTCCTCAATCACCCCCCTAGCCAGTGACTCAGGGAGTGGCATAACACAGCATCTCACACTACGTCCTCTGTCTGAGCTGAATGTTGATGACGGACATGATGGAAGGTTGTCTGTTCCTTGAAGATGTACAGGCAGTTGTCCTCTCCTCTCGTGTGTGTGTGTGTGTGTGTGTGTGTGTGTGTGTGTGTGTGTGTGTGTGTGTATGTATGTGTGTGTGTGTGTACATTACAGTAAACAGGGATAATCGTCCGATGAAGCTTTAAAACGCAACTGATGTTTTTTGGTAAATAATTATAACTTTTTTGGTTTTTATTGCTATAACTTTATGGAAATTGGTTCATACATAACAAAATTGCCCTATTCATTTAATACGTCGTTTATTATCATAACCTAACCTAACCTAACCTAACCTAAATTCGGTTATTTCGGTCAGTGAGGTCAACAATAATGCCAGAAATAATACGGTGTGATATGATTAAACAACATGACCTATAGACAGTCCAGCTTGAATTACCGAAAATGTGTGTAAATATTATGGTTATATTAAAATTACCCCCATTTAGCGTCACACACACACACACACACACACACACACACACACACACACACACACACACACCCGTTAAATATGCCAATGTCTCACTCTCACGTCTACCATAAAACAAGAGCAAAGTTATTGGCTTATATATAAAAACAAAACAAAATATAACAGACAGGTATCAATTTTAGGAGAGTATTAGACAGAGCCTGTGAGTGCATGGTAAGGGGGAGGGGGGGGGGGCATAGACACTTCAAACCTCCACTATATTGGCGAGAGTAAACAAACCCTGGGTCAGTACAGTAGTTGGCAGCGCTCTACCCCTATTGGCCCCCGCCGACTGTTACCACCACTTTGAAGACGAAAATATTCTAGTAGTAAATTGTTATATTCGTTGTAATTCCGTAAACAAGAATTCCAGGTACTACAGTCTGTCTTTACACCATAAATGCCGTTCACCTCTAAATGAAGCTGTTTGTTAGGCATTTTTAACTATTTAGTATTGCTTCATTAAATGAGTCAGACTGTAATCTTGTGTTATTATGTGAGTTAATAATACATTCTGTTTTTTCTAATGTAGAAGCTTTCCCTGCCAGAGTTATTAAGCACCGCTCATTTGGTCTTATTTTTTTACATTAGACAAGTTTTCATAAAATTAAAATAACTTTATAGGTTTACGCTAATAGTTTGTACAGTCATAATCATTACTTATAAGTCATGATAAAAATGTGAGTATATTAATTTTACATGTTTATTGCTCAGTGTATTGTTCAGTGTATTGCTCAGTGTATTGTTCAGTGTATTGCTCAGTGTATTGCTCAGTGTATTGCTCAGTGTATGGCTCAGTGTATTGCTCAGTGTATGGCTCAGTGTATTGCTCAGTGTATGGCTCAGTGTTTGGTATCATGTCGCCCCTGAGAGAGAGATACACTTCTTACTGTGTTAATTTGTCTTCCCTGTCGATTTGTCTTCTCCATCTTGGAAATAAATAATCGTCACTCCTTCAATTCTGTACCAATTAGTTCGAAACTTGTCAGACTTTTACTTTAGTTCAATACTCTCAGGCACCTGGTTTTTCTGTTCTGGCCTCTTGAAGGTTGTGAGGGGTTAGAGGTCAAACTATATATACACTGTATATAACTGTTGATATCTGTGGATTCCAAACTGCTGTTATTATTATTATTATTATTATTATTATTATTATTATTATTATTATCATTAAAGAATACAGACTCATCATACAATACAATAATTAAGCTGAAAGTGAGTAACTTATGTTTAAATCCTAATTTCCCTCCCGTAAAGATACTTTTTGGAGAGCGTGAACATGACGCTCTAATATATGCCAGATAGTGCCAAAAAGGGGGTAGTTTAGTGTGTAACTGTATTGTACCTTAAAATCTGATCACTCTATCTCTGTCGGGTGTGCAGTACGTGGCCGTTCAGAGGCACTACCCTGCCACTGGCCGCCTAAACCATGTATAGCCTCAGTACAAATGGAGTGACTATCACTTCACGCGCTGGCTTTACCGTATATAGCCTGAAGCAATTCATGTTGGACACTGGTTTGCATAGTGATTGTGTTTGGATACTCCATGTGTTCTATATATATATATAAAGCGCTGCACAATCAGTTCACATACAGAGCACATGATGTAGCCAAGCGATGCACATGTACAGTATATCTTGTAGTCGTGTGCTGTGTATGGATATTACAAGTTGTGTTCAAGTATCATTACTGTTTAGTACATGTTCTATCCGAGTAATGAACATGTTCTATCCGAGTAATGAACTTTTATGTAATTTAGGTTACAGCCAATGTACATTTAAGTCCATGTTCAAGTTAAGTAATGCATACACTCAGTAGTTCTGTTGATTTAAAAAAACAACAACTAAGTATGACCTGCATTTTTATGAGTCGCCTTTTAACACAGATTAAAAACCTTTTAGATTTAAAAGGGTTAACCTCAGTTCTGTTTAGTGTGTTTGTGACTGTTGCGAGGTGTTGTCTCTCTCTCTCTCTCTCTCTCTCTCTCTCTCTCTCTCTCTCTCTCTCTCTCTCTCTCTCTCTCCAAGTCATTCCCATCTCGAGTTAGATATCTTGAGTCACTATTACATACAATTGTTATAATTGGTGTACATGTCTGGTTTAATGGCTGCGGCAGTTATGTAAGCAACAACGTCCAGCCATTTTCGTCGACAAATCGTTCATTAACGTCGAAGGTAAGTATCAAAGTTCAATGGTGTTCTGCGATGCCGCCTCGGGTGCAGAAG